CCCTCCCTCCCCACCCCAGCAGTTAAATCCAAGTCCTCACCGTGAGGCCTGGTGTTGGTTTTTGAAGGTCCCAAATATGCTACTGCCCTGAGATATAATTTCCTCTGTATTTCTGACCCAGATATTTGTTGGCCTTTTTCCCTCTCAGTTCTCTTCGCCACATGCTTTCAGGCACATCTCTCATTACCTAGGACGGGGCTCATTCTGAATATTCACGACTCTAGTTTATGTTGAAGAATTCCTTCGTTGAAGCAGCACACTCATCTCCCTTGGCCACCACGCACCCCTGCATCCCCAAGCCAGCAGCAGCACAGGATGATGGTGAATGACTCTCTCCTGAATGAAGGAGAGTGGAACAGAGCTGGAGTTTGGACCCAGGAAGACTTGACTCCAAAATCTGTTCCTCTTTCAAAAGCATACAATAGAGGCTTACAGCAGAGGTAGGAATATATGCTTTTCCAACCACAACACTCCAAGCTGCTTCCCAAAGGCCTGAGACATAGAGTCACTTCATTGAGTAGAAGCAAATAAGACATTTAGCAACTTGCTCCTACCAACACCATCTGACAGCCTTGGTCTGGTTTCAATCAGCCTCCAGGGGAAAAAAAAACAAAAACAAAAACAGAGTTCTGGCCTCCCAGCAAGCTGCATATTTGAGAGTAAGTTTTGCAAAGTAGATTGATTCATGCTGGTTACTATCTACAAAGTCTTCTGTGACCCACTTAATGACTCTGGGCCTCATTTCTATATATAAAGTAAGAAAATAAGCTCATCCCTGGTTCTCTTCCAGAATTATTTGGAGGGGGTCTTACATGTAGTAACATTGTATAAACTGCAGCATTGTATACAGGTACTTTACTGCCAAGATAACATAGGGCCAAGACAACACAGAGAGGAGGAAAAAAAGAGTAGAAAAAAATGGAATGGACTTAAGAAAGAAAAAGAGAAGTGAAAAAAGAAAGAGATGATGGTATTGGATGAGTGGCTTTCTAAATATGTACTTGAATGGCTTAACAGAAAAGAAAGCTTAAAATATATTAAAATCTTGTAGAGCAAAAAGTTACCTTTTGTCCCAGGACAGAATTTAGAATTGCTAGTGGATACAATGAGATACAACATTAAAATTTCAAATATAATTTATAACCTTGAAAACTTAAGGGCCTGTAGTTTTATTTTAGTCCTTTCAAAATATACTTCATCTAGACACTATCGTAGTTTTGGTGAGAGGTTTTCTGTCTTGATTTTTATTTTTATTTTTTTGTCGATCATGGGGCTTGAACTCTGGGCCTAGGTCCTGTCCCTGAGCTCTTCCGCTCAAGGCTAGCACTCTACCACTTGAGCCACAGCACCACTTGTGGTTTTCTGGTGGGTTATTAGAGATAAGAGTGTCAAGGACTTTCCTGCCCAGGCTGCTTTGAATGTGATCCTCAGATCTCAGCATTCTGAGTAGCTAGGATTTACAGGCATGAGCCAACAGCACCCGGCTACAGTTTTGGTTTTTTTTTCCCCACACCTGTTTGAAGACCTGTCAAATAAGGAGCTCCAAGAAGCTGTACAGCTGTCCACCTCCCTCTCTGTATAGACAGCCAAGCAGGGGACATCAGCAACCATTTGAGTGCCACATGTGGCAAGAAGGACCCATAAAGGCTATTGATCCAACCAATGCTAACAACTTTTTCCTAGCTAAACTGTCTTACATCCACAGGATAACATTTAAGCCATTGAAGACTCTCAGTAAAGGCTGAGTGAGTGATATAAACTAAGAGTCTTCGGTCTCTTTTTTTAATATTCCCCAGTTATAAGAAATATCCTCCACTTATGATGGCCCATTTCACATTTGGGAGGCTTCTTTTGGCAAAGAGTTTGTGTGATATAGAAGGAAGAACAAGGTCTTCATGGGCAGAAGGATATGTCACTTACCCTCCCTGAACTTCCACTTCCTTGTTGGTATAAATGGAAGATAGTGGAAGTCCATGGTAATGGGAGGTGTGATTGAGAAAGTGAGCTGGGAATACACCAGTTTAGGATATCTACCAAGCAGTGTTTGTCTTCTCTACAGAAGTGCACAACAAGTTTTAAAGCTCAAATCTGAAGCCAGATATCTGAGTTCAGATCCTAGGTCAAATCTTGACCAACCAACTTCATCTTTCATTTCCATATAGGTTAACAGGTGACAAGCACAGTTTCTTATCATTAGGTTAATGCCAGAATTGAGTAAGTCAACATTTGCAAAGAACTTGGTGCCTAGCTGATAAGAAAGCATGCAACAATTCTACTGCAGTGGCTTATTAATTCTGTAATCAACAGAGCCACTGAGAGGGTAGCAATAAGACCAGAGTCTTCCTATCAGATGCTTGATGCACAGGATACAGGAAGAGTGAAGAGGTGAGAGGTCAAGAAACTAGCCAAGTAGGTGCTATGATTCTGGGTAGGAGGTAGTTAAGCACTAGTTCAGAGGCAAAGACAGCTGGGTGCTTGTGGCTCAGGCCTGTAATCCTAGCTATTCAGGAGGCTGGGATCTGAGAATCATTTTAAAGCCAGCCAGGGCAGGAAAGTCTGTGAGACTCTAATCTCCGATTCATCACCAGAAAACTGAGAAGTGGAGCTGTGGCTCAAAATGCTAGAACACTGGCCTTGAGCTCAAAAGCTCAAGGACAGCCCCCAAGCCCTGAGTTCAAGCCCCACAATAGAAAGAAGGAGGAGGAGGAGGAGGACGGAAAGGAACGAGACGCTAGATATTTCTGAGCAGCTTAGTAGGAGAACTTAGTAAATGTCTTCATGTGGTTGGTAGGGATAATGCAGTAATCACAGAGAAGGTAGATTTTGTCTGCCAACATGTGCATTTTCACACTGAGGTATTTATTCTAGAGTTTCAATAAGAAAGTAACTGCCTCTCCTAGGCTGTATGCGTCTCAATCATCTTATGGGAACCAATGGTCTTGCAGAGTTGGTGGGTCACTGCCACCCTTATGGAAACACAACAGCAGTAAAGGAACATGTGTTCCTCTGGGTGTGATGGAGCACCATCAGTGGAAACATGACCACTTCCAGTTCTTTCCATCCCTTAAAGCTGTAGGTGAATCTATGAGGACAGCCTCAGGCTGATTATCAGCAGGAGATGAATGCCCCTAAAATGCCAGAGACCTACACAGGGAACTTCTTCATAGCAGCAGTATTTTCTACTTAGTTACTTAGCCTTGGGGTATGTTGCTTGCAAGGGGGCTGGTTCGGTGCATTGTCTTATACACAGCTGTCAATGATTGTCCCATGACTGACAAATTTGACTTGAACCTCGTAACAAACCACGTGAGGAGTTGGGTTTCTATTCCTTGTTCAACAGTGAAAAACTCTGCTGAAAAAAGGCTTGTTTCCTGTTTTAAAATGTAAAGCTATACATTTAATGTACACTAGAAGGTACTTTAAAAAGCATTCACATGTTTAAGATTCATTAGATGATGAAGCTTCCAAGCCTACCCCTGCTCTGACCTTCACGGAGTATTGCTTTGCCTCTCCAGGCATCCTTGAATTTGATATGGAATCAGGTGAGCATTAGAGTACCTTCCCTCTCTAGCTCTCAAATAATCTGGTCTTCTGCCAGGAAATCTTAATTTCACTTAACTTACCTGCCTGTAACTTATAACCTAAAGGCCACGCTGTGTTTGTTACACAGGTGTAACTGATAGACAAGCCTCTGATAACAGTCTACGGTGCAATACCGCATGCCCACCTAGACAGCTACCTGGTTCCAACTATTTCCAAACTGACAATTACTTAATAACCAACTCTATTCACCTACAGCTCTTGTGTAGTGAAGTTTCCTACCTGCAACTTCAGAATCAAGTTATCAACTGTAACTGTGAAGGCATGTCAAGATCCAGGGCTCACGCCTGTAATCCTAGCTACTCAAGAGGCTGAGATCTGGGGTTTGAAGCCAACCTGGACAGGAAAGTCCATGAGACTCTTGTCTCAAATTAATCATCAGAAAACCGAAGTGGGGCTGTGGTTCCAAGTAGTACAGCACTAGCCTTGAGCAAAAAGCTCAGGGACTGTACCCAGGCCCTGAGTTCAAGCACCACAAAAGAAAAGAGAGAGGGAGAGAGAGAGGGAGAGGGAGAGACAGGAAAGAAGGAAGGAAGGGGAAGGGAAGGCAATGGAAGGGAAGGAAGGAAGGAAGATCTGGTCACTAAACTCCTGGAGATCAGAGATCACAGTAGGTCTTGCTCGGGCTGCTGGCCTTAGCTATTCCCTTTACTTGCATCTAAGCCCCAGGATGTTCCTCCTCCCGCACCCCCTAAACATCCATCACCCCGCTCACCAGTAAGATATGTCCCCCTGTAGGTTTGTCCCCTACAAGGCCTAGGCGTGGGCTGATGCTCATTTCAGCATTGTCATTTCCTCCTAACAAGCAACTTTCCGAGTTGCACTGTCCCCAGCCTGACTGGAACCCCAGTCACTTGTGTCTTCTCAGCTGTCTGCTTTCAGAGGCCTTTTGTACACTTGTGACAATAAACCCCCTCACGGCCCAGACTGCTGACTGCCCAGTAGTCACATGCTCCCAAAAGCTGGCTCCCTGTGGTTGGACGCCATGTTGACACTCAGAGGACCTGGGATTCGTCCTCACCTGGTTATAATGTCTCTTGTGTTTAAAGTGAACGGAGCCCGGACACATCTGAGCACCTTTAACTAGAAAAAGAGCTCCGATGTCCCGGCCAAGGGGAAGAAGGCCTGCAGCCAGAGAAGCAGCCCCGGGAGCCTCGGGACCTTCAATTCGGTTTGGGGCTAGTTCCACAAACTGTCACACAACCGCCAACATTCAGATTAGCTCCTCACTCTCCGCTATCGGCTGCGGGCAAAGCCGCCAGGGGTCCCGCCCAGCGCTCCGGGAGTCTCCGCCCCGCGCTGCGGGGGACCCGCGGGCCGGCCGGGATCTCCCGCCCGCGGGGGCCGAGCATCGCCCGCGGAGCTCCGACCCCGAGCTCCTCCAGAGGGCTGGCAGCTACCTGGTCCAACAGCCGGTAGATGGTGATGCCCGAGGCGTCCACCAGCAGCTGCCAGTCGGCCCCGGCCAGGGAGGGCTCTTGGAGCTCAGCGATGGCCTCCCGGAACTGGTCCTCTGAAAAGCTGCACTCAGCCAGCGCCATCCTTCCGCAGCCCGGGCAACTCCGCCCGCAGCACTGTGCGGCCCCGGTGTGGCCTCCGGGGCGGGCTGGGGAGGGGGAGGGAGGGGCCGGCGACAAGGTGGCTGCCACCTGATTGGCAGGGAGCAGAGGAGAAGGCGGGACTTAAGGAGGAGGAGTTAGTCGGGCTGAGGGCGTGGCCTGGGGGCGGGTCTGAAAGTGGGCGGGGCTGATCCTGTAGTTCCCAAGGTTGGCCTAAGTAAAACTAAAGAAAACTTGGAGTTGATCTGGGGGAAGAAGGGAGAGTTAAAGTGGGGAGACTTCTGAAAGGAAGACACTGAAGTCACCTTGAAGAGGGATTCTGCTATCAGGAGCACATCCCATACTCTACCAAAACTGCCTGGGTTGTTTTTGCTTTTTTGTTTTTTTTTCCTGAAGAATGTAAAACGGATCTCTTTGAGATACAGGGGTGATATGCTAGAATAAAATTGCTCTTCTGCTTTGCGTTTAAAATGTTATTTTGAGAAAGGGACCCGTGGTACTCATGAAGAGATGAGAAAAGTCCAAGGGAGAAGGAGGAAGAGGGGAAGAGGGATAGGGAAGGAGAGGGGAATGGGAGAGTGGGGGGGGGAGGAAAAGGAGGGGGGAGGGAGAGGGGAGAAAGAGTCCAGTCCATAAAGGATCTGTAAGGCTAAAATCTGAAGAGGAAAAAATATAATCTTTCAAATACCTCGGTGTCTATCCAGAATTTCTGGTTTTGCATAATTTAGATCTTGGTGCAACACAAAGATCTTTTTGTTCCTCTGAAATCCCTTAGGTATTACTACATTTCTCACCAGAAAACTACACCTAGCTTTGAGTAAGATAGTTTAAACATCAGAAAGGCACAATAGTCAGACAAGTGCCAAGAAGCTGTGGAAAACCAGGTTTCCTCATCTGTAAAACAGATCAAGAGTTGTGTAGCTATTTAAAGTTGGGGTGACCATTGAATATAAAATATTTTTGCACAGTGACTGTCCAAGTAAATGTTCAATGAACATATTCCCTGTTTTACATCATTAATCTGAAATGCAGTTTGTTCAGTACAAATTCATTGCATGGGAAAGCAATCACTGAATTGAATTGAAGGAATTTGTTATAAATGTCTCCTTTGGTAAAGGTGAAGCTTTAACATCATATAGCAATAGATGAATACTCTCTGGAGGAAGTTCTCACAACACAGCAGACCAAAGTTCCTGGCCTCAAACACCTAGAGATAATGGATAAGACATAACCAAAAATAATATTACAAACACAGCTTAACTGAAAATAAAAAGTGGCACACTCAAAATTCCAGACAGAGAAGAGAGAATAAAGGCCAGAAGTTAACTTAGAATTCATGAACATACACACACACATACACACACACACACACACACACACACACAGGCCCTCACCTGCCCATGTTTGTATAAAAACTAACTTCCATTACTGTAATCTCTCAGAAAAGGAGTGATTTCAGCAGTTGATGAGTTTAGAACAAGCTACTGGGCATGTCCAGATCAACATGTTCTGCCACCTGTCAACCTGTAGAAAACAAGTATTCTCTTATGCCTTAAACTGTGTAATGAAGCCAAAAAATACACAAGAATCAGCATAAGCAGAGTGCTGTAATTAACTTGTGGTCTAAAGCTCCAGGCCTCTTCCCCCAAAAGCCTTATTGTAATAATGGCGAAATCCATTGCTGACTTAAAGTATTTATATGTGTGTGTGTGTGTGTACATATACATATACATACATATATATATATATTCCAATTGCAAGTAGGGAAGATAGAAGTGTTAGACTCAGGGAATCCAAAAGTCAAGTTGTAAATAAACCATAAAAGCTGCAGGTTACAGTTCTAGTACTCAGGACTGAATTGAACACATAACTTTAGGTCACTGCTGTTAGACAAACTGGCTAGTGGCCCTTCATAGAGCTTGAATTCTTTAAGAGCTGTCTCTGTCATTCAAAAGGTAAGTTAGAAGAATTACAAACCTGTATTGTATGAAGGGTTTTTCCTACAGCCTTGGATGAATAGAAATAAAAAGTTACTGCAAGAAATCAAGCCTTCAGCCTATATCAGATTTACATTGTTTGTATCATGTGGGAGTCACAAGATATTGACGTGCACCCTGGTTTCAAGATCATTGAACCGCTGGGATCCTGCTAGGGTACTTTCACAATAAGGACACATGGAATAACAACAGAAGACAAACACCCACAGAAGAAAAGTATACAAAAAAAATGAATCACAAAGACCTGAGAAAACAAGGGCTAGGAATGTAGCTCAGTAGTGGAGAACTTGCAGAACATGCTGGAGGCCCAGGATCAAGGAAGAAAAACAAATCTATACATAAAACAACAAATAGCAGACCAACATAAAAACAATTTTTTTTTGGTTGTGGGCTTGAACTCCAAGGCCTGAGCACTGTCCCTGAGCTCTTTAGCTCAAGGTTAGCGCTCTACCACTTGAGCCACAGTGCCACTTGCGGTTTTTGAGCACTTCATTGGAGATAAGAGTCTTAAGGAGACTTCTACTTGGGCTGGCTTTGAACCATGATCCTCAGATCTCAGCCTCCTAAGTGGCTAGGATTATAGGCATGAGCCACTGGTGCCAGCTAAAACAATTTTTAAATAAAGAAACAAAACAATGAAGCCTGGCACTGGTGGCTCATATCTGTAATCCCAGCTATTTAGGAGGCTGAGACCTGAGGGTCACAGTTCAAAGCTAGTCTAAGTAGGAAAGGCTGTGAGACTCTTATCTCCAATTAACTAACAACAACAACAACAAAAAGCTGGAAGTGGAGTTGTGGCTCTTAAGCCCTTGCATACAAAAGCTTAGGCCCTGAGTTCAAGACCCAGGACCAGCACAAAAAAAAAGAGGGAGGGAAAGAGGGAGAGTAAGAGGCGAGGAGAGAAAGAGGGGAGGGAATGGAAGGGAAGTGGAAGAGGAAGAGGAAGGGGAAGAGGAAGGGATAGAACCATAATAAAAGAACAGAAACTAGGGCTGGGAAGGTGGCTCAGTGGTAGAGTGCTTGCCTCACATGCATGAGGCCCTGGGTTTGATTCCTCAGCACCACATAAGCAGATAAAGCCGGAAGTGGCACTGTGGCTCAAGTGGTAGAGTGCTAGCCTTGAACACAGAGAGGCTTTCCAAAAGTAAAACCCTGATATCAGGGACAGAGCTCAGGCCCTGAGTTCAAGCCCAGGACTGGCAAAAAAATACATAATATATATATATATATATATATAATCATTTGAATGCAAATTTAAGAACAGTAGAATAGCTGCCCTGTCACAGTTCCAAAAAAAAAAAAATACAGGAATGTGAAGGTGGCTATGAAACAACTTCCCAGAAAGCAGCACAGATATTACAATAAAAAATGGAAGACATGAATGAGTAATTAAGAGAAATGCCAAATATTTATGACTGGAGTTTCAAAAGGATAGAATAAAGAAGGGAAGACACTGGGTGGGTAGATCAGGAAGGAGAAAGAAAAATCAGAGACATAAAATCAAAGTTGAATTAAACTTTTCAACAGAAAAATCCTAAAGCAGGACAAAGTGAACTCATAATTTTTTGTAAGGGGTTAAAAAGAGATATTAAGTGTTATTTGGTTTAATTATTTTGTTTTATTTTTTGTCAGTTGTGGGGCTTGAACTCACGGCTTGGACACTGTCTTTGAGCTGTGTTTGCTCAAGGCTAATGCTCTACCACTTTGAGCCACAGCTCTATTTCTAGTTTTCTGGTGGTTAATTGGAGATAAGAGTCTTGTGGACTTTCTTGCCCTGGCTGCCTTTGAACTGCGATCCTCAGATCTCAGCATACTGAGTAGCTAGGATTACAAGTGTGAGCCACCAGCACCAGGCAAGTTTAACATAGCTGTTTAAAGTGACTAAATTTCAAATGTCAGGTAAGCCGAGGCCATTGTGCCCTTTAAAATAAGTTGATGACCTAAGACTAGCAGAATCATATCAAAAAGATACAGGAGGGTAATTGAAAAGAGAAAAGAGACAGAAGGTAGCTAGATTGTTACTGTTCTGGTTCCTCTTCTATATTTGTAATTGTTCAAAATAAAAAATTGGCAAAAACACAGTTGTATGTGTTCCTAAGAGACACGAGTAGAGCATAATTATGCCAAAATTGAAAGGTGAAGGTATGGAAAAATAATCATAAACGCTAAAGAAAGCCAATATTACTCTAAAACATGAGTCAAAACAGACAAAGAAGGAGGGATATTGGGAGAAAAATGAGGGAAAGGGTAACAAATTTGACAAGAAATGTACTCACTACCTTACTTATGTAACTGTGACCCCTCTGTACATCACCTTGACAATAAAATTAAATAATAATAATAATAATAATAATGCAGACTGAGACAAGAAAATAATAGAATTTTATGAATTATTAAGGGGTACAAGGCTATAGGAAATCTCAGTGTCTAAGTCTGCATTCATTCATTTCAAAACATAATCTCAAATATACATAGCAAAAAAAGTGCCATCAGAGCAGACAGAATCAGCAAATTCACAATCAGAGTGAGGCATATTAAGGCTTTCTTGTAATTCAGGGGGAAAAAAATCAATTGGCAATGATAAAGATTTGGGCTCGTAATTCATACACTTGGTCTCAAGGTCGTATGTAGAAATCCTCTCCAAAAGTAAAACACATTATTGGGAAGTTCTTACAAACATTCATTAAAATTCTCATGACCTAAATTTGCTTAATAAAAAAATGACAACTTTGTAAAGCACCAAGGATATTTTCAGTATGTGCGTTGAGTTCATTAAGCAGATAACACAGATAAAAGCACTCTATATAGTGAGTGCCAACACGTACCAACAGAAATTTCTAAAATCTACACAAAAAGCCAATTCTAACTGAGTTCTGGTCTACTCACTCTGTCCAGTTGAGCTATGATTTGGATTTTAAACATCCTCCTAAGTCAATATGCTTCAAGCTTAATTGGCAGCCAGTGGCCCTACTGGAAGGGTGCAGAAACTGTAGGAG